TGGTAATACCTCTTTGTTCTCATCTATTTCCTTTCGAGAAAAACCTCATTTCATAACCCTTGACACACTATAATGATGATAAAATAGGATAAATATCCTAACAATCCCTTCAGAGTTGTCAAGCGTTTATCAACCTAGGAGATTGCAGACAAACATAGAAAAAAGGGTCGTAGAGTGCAAACCAATTACTAACTATGAAAGGGGTTTGATGGGATACTATAGGAGATTTTTCAGAATTAGAAAGTTGAGGCATGGACTTAAACCTCTCAAAATATCTAGATGGTGTGTGACATTTGTTGTAATTAGAGAAAATATCTATAGAATCTTCTTAATTAGAGAAAATATCTACAGAATCTTCCTAATTAAAGAAAACATTTGTAGGATCTTTTAGATTATTTTTTACTATATTGTTTCCTTATTTATTTTTTTAGAAGATTAGATTGCTACAAATAGAGGTAAAGAGAATGTAATTCATATGATTGAAAATAATAAAGTCACTCTCTTTTTCAAGTTGGTATCAGAGCTCCCGAGCTTAGGAGCTCCGTTTCCGCTGCAACAGTACCTACCATCGTCGTTGTCCAATATCCTATCATTTATGACTCTTGATATGAAAGCTTACAAGGAGGAACTCGAGAGCATGAAAGCAATGGTTGAATTAATGAGTAAGCCCTTTGAACCATGTACTATGTCCATGAAAGGTAAGAATTGTCTCAATACTATTGGCCATGTGTCTCAAGGTATATGGATTCTTGATTCAGGAGCAATTGATCATATGACTCCTCTTCGTGTGTCCTTCAACTCATACGGTAAAACAAATAGAGAACAACTTATTACAGTTGCGAATGGTCAGGGTATACCTATATGCAACACTGGGAATATAATTTTGGACTCATCTATTGTATTAAAGGATGTTTTACATGTTCCACAATTAGCCAACAGTCTTGTCTCTGTGAAAAAACTCACAAAGATTTAAATTGTTGTTAGGTTCCTGAGTTGGAGACCTAACTAAGACAACCCAATCACACACACAAACAAGAATTAACACTGTAAAAGGAATGGGTTTCTGTACTGATATTGAAAGAAGGTACACAGGTAGCGTTAATGGAGGCCTAATCCTCCTCTTAACCCTAGCGGAGGCCTAATCCCCCTTAACAAGGTCCAAGACCTGTTTACAAATAGTAAAAATGATTCCCCCCTTCCAGAATTACCCAAAAGGTATATTTATACTCTCTCTCCCTCTAACAGCCTAACAAACTTCCCTGTTCTTCTTTACTCCTCTGCCTTCTATCCTAAACCCATTACCCATAATGCCCTATCACCCTGTATCCTAACAATTGTTCAGTAACATTTTTCTCAACTTATTATGTTTTTCAAGATCTTGCCACGGAGAAGACGATTTTAAGGAACAAAGTGGATTGTATCACTTGGAGTCTAATGACCAAAGCAAACCAAAAATTATGAGTCAACAAGTTACATCTAAGACGTGGGCAAATTCTCAAATATGATTACATTATAAAAGGCTTGAGCATCCTTCATTCAATCTTATCCAGTCCTTATTTCCTCATTTGTTTACCAAAGAGTCTGTTAAGTCTTTTAATTGTGATATTTGCCAATTGTCAAAACACCATTGTGCATCTTATCCTATTAGTAATAAAAAAGTACTTCTCCATTTGATATAATTCACTTTGGGTACCTATAGTAGAATCTATTTTCGGTGTCAAATGATTTGTTACCTTTATTGAATATTGTACCGGTGTCACGTAGATATACCTTTCTAAAAATAAATCAGAAGTTTTCCAAATTTCTATTAATTCTTTCCATCTTGTCCAAAATCAATTTGGAGAAAATATCAAAAGAATCAGGTCTAATAATGGTACTGAATATGTAAATCATAAATTTTTCAATTTTGTCTCATAATGGTATTGTTCATGAATTAACATGTGTAAACACCCCTCAACAAAACAGTTGCAGAAAGAAAGAATCGTCATCTTTTTGAAGTAACTAGAGCTCTTCTTTTTCAAATGTTTGTTCCAAAAAATTACTAGGGAGAAGCTATGTTAACTACCACATATCTCATTAAACGATTACCCCCCTTATCTTAAATGGCATTTGTCCAATAAAATCTCTATTGTCTTTTGTTCCTTCTTCCCCCCTCAACTAATCTAGCTTTTCTTTTGTTCCTTCTTCCCCCCTCACAACTAATCTACCTTTTCTTGCTACCTTCGTGAAGGGTTTTTATCACCATGCAAGATATTATTAGTCCTATTCAATTATTTACGATATTTTAATAATTGTATGGAGTGACAATTGTAGTACTATCCGCTCTCTCACATATACAACATTTCATCCCTAAGCTACCTTGCATTTTCTCATACTTGCCTAATGATCCAGCATTACTAAGTTTACTCTTAAAACAGCAAGCTTAATATATATACTTATAGCATCATGTCCAAGGCAAATTTTATTAAGTAAATGTAATAATACTAATATGACAATCAATTTAGTGCCTTGGACGAACACCATAGTCTGGCCAATCTGCTAGTCAGTTTAATACAGAAATTTTAGCAATCAAAGAAATTGATCAAGTGAGGTATTGCAACTAACCAATCTGACAGTAGACTTTTGGCCATTTGGAAGTGTTATGGTATGCGGTCCAATTCCATGGCAGCATTCGTGGCAAATTGTGTGGGTAAAGAATGATTCAAAATCTACATGTTCTTGTTGCTCCTCTGCAACACAGGCAGCAGCTATAGGAAGAAGAATATGCTTGAACCTGTTAAGAATTGACAGGTTCTCCCAAGATAAATAATCCATTTAGAAAAAGATGTAACGAAAACATGCAATTCATAATTGTAAATGGTAACTTCAACAAACTATAAATTTCATGGCCGGAAATATTACTTTGCCTCTGAAACATTCTTAAGCATGACCATTGATGTTCCCCGGTCTTTTACAATACTATCATCATTTGGTAGATTGAATGCAAGAGTTTGCGGTCCCTTCACATCCTGAAATAATTCATAAGTTTAAAATTTCCGGTTTTAAGCACAAATATCCAATTAAAATGGAGAAAAATGGCTTTGGAATATTATCAGAAAAGATATGGAAAACATCGTCCAGCATAATAACTGCTTAAACCAGATATTATCGACTGTATTGTTAACCCATTGAAATTCAACAAGAACTCCACAGTTACTGCCAGAACTGAAAACTCAGAAGCATCTTTTTACTTCTGTTACACCCACACTAAAACACACACACAGAGACTCAAACAATATTCAAATATTCCTAACACTTACCCCAGCATTATATAGAAGTTGGATAACCCGGATAGGAGCTGCCGACACATCTTTTGATTTGTATGCACTATCCATAGGGAGATTTTGCTCCAGAAGCTTAATAGGTAGAAATATTTGAGAATTAAGGTGTCAAATACACTTAATTTTAGAAAAAATAAAAGTTACAAAACTAACTCAATGAAATGCTTCAAGTATATACCTGCAGATTATCCCCAAAGAGTTTCAATTGAGCTGTTGCTTCATCGTCCTTGATTCCAATAAATGCTTCAAAGGTAGCCTAAAAGAATTGAAAAGCACTTATTGATTCATTAATTCAAAGTTAGCGTCATTTGTCATTTCAAGTGGGATGCCGAAAATTTTCCAGTAAATTTAGACATTCAAATAATTTATATTCTTTATTCATGATAGTATAGAAGAATTTAGAGATTCAATCCAGAACATCACATCCGTATTCAATAGACAGTTTCTCTTTAAAGAATCATTCATTTACTTGTTAGATGAACAAGGCCATGTTTTTCTTATACCTCTTCTACATTTTTGAGCCAAATAAGTCAATAAAAACCCTTGGAACCTTAAAGAAAAATTTCTTCATTCTTTGAACCTCAAGCATATTGATAAATCCCTCACCTCCTTACCTTGAGTTGAGTAGAGCATTCATTTTTGGTTGAAGAGAATTGTATAAAGTTTGGGGAGTTCATTCTATAAGGGAATATTGAGAAAAACAAAAAGAAAAAAATGAAGAAAGAAGAAAAAGTTAAAGAAAAAGAGTTTCATGAAAGAAAGTTGGAAATTGGTTATACTTGAACTGAAGCAAAAAAGATAAATATATTTTCATGATTTGAATTGTTTACTCTCTTAGATCAAGGCACTTTGTTATCCAGAAAAACCATGTTTCTTTCTTTTCTTAGCCCAGCCACAATACAAGCCATGAAAGTTCTTGTGATGCTAATTTGCTTATGAATGTGTTTATTTTTGTTGAAACGAAGGGCAAAGTTGATTTGTGTGACATTATGATGGTAGAGTGAATGAAACACGTCCTTATACACTAATGAGCTTGAGAGAAACACTTCTTTGGTGAGGAATGGTTCCATGCATTTCATGAAAGCATTTTGCCATGTTTGGTGCTCCCTCGTAAAACCTTTGCATTTGTCTTGTAATCTCTAATGTATAAGCACCATAATTGAAGCTTGATTTGTGTACGCTGCATTATCTCTTGAGTGGTTTTTCTATGATGAGTAAACATGATTGATTTAATAGTCTTGAGTGAAACTATTTTCTTGAGTTGTTAAACCATTATAGTTGAGCTGTTTTATCAAGACCAAGTTACCTTTTGCTTAAGGACAATCAAACTTGTAAGTTTGGGGGAATTGATAATCCTAATTCTTACCATTATTTAAGTGCATTTTTAGTAGCAAATTCAGCTCTGCTTTAGCTTATTACTTGCTTAAATCCTCTCTTTATCTTATTCTTGTATTTATTTATATTGTTGGTTACACTTGTGCAAATATGATAAAAATCCCCTCTTTTGATAGCTATATTGATGATAGGAAGATCGTCAGCAATATTGAAGAACCCTGGATTCAGAGAAACAAACAAATCTGCACAACTTGGGGAATTGATGAAAGCCCAGAGAGACCACCGTTGAGCACCACTCCCTAGTGTTGAGTGCTACCCCTTGATGCTGAATCCAGAGAGTCCAGTGTTGAGCGCTCCAATCCAACACTAAGCGGCTGATACTAGTGAATAGGGCGTTGAGCGCCAGAATCCCAACGCTGAGTGCCAACTATGTTGATGTGGTAGAAGTAGGATGTTGGAATTAATAATTCTCTCGTTCATACTTTTGAAACAATACATAGGTGTTTAAAAAGAAAATAACCATTGTCTAATTAAGGTAAAAAATCTCCTGAAATAAAGTCTCTAAATCAAGAGATATGTACCCAATAATACCTAATCTTAATAAAAGGAAATATGCCCAATATTAACTAATCTTAATCCCTTAATTTTAGGGATTACACATAATTGATATATTAACTGGGTAATAAATTCACATATTCTGACAATAGTTACTGGCGATAGTAGAATTTCCCATATCTCTAGAAAAACAACTAGTCGTTGAATATAGCCTATACCCACTACTACCCTTGTTCATGCTCAATGTTCCCCCCTTTGACATAATTTTTATTTTTTCCCTCAACCATCTAAGCCTACATCATCAATTCAACAAGATTGTTGGGTTCATATAACTCCACTTCCTTTTTAATGTCTTCTTTCAAGCCATTAAAAAATATACTTGTTCAACACCATGCAAGAATTCCACATATTGTTCAAATTGCTTCAAGAATCCCATTTTGTGTTAATCCAATTAAGATTTCGAAAGGATCTTTTAACATATTGGGTTGAAACATTCTTACCACTGAAACTTTGAAACCTTCCAACGTGTGATTTGCCTTAATGTCTCCCACCACTAAAACCACTTTATCGCCTTTCCTTCTATGAGAAATAGAGAAGATCGGGAGAAAATATCCATTGTGTATTTAGCATACACATAGGGTAGTTTATTTCTATTGTAAGATATGGGTCAATGCCCTTAATAACAGAAACACACATCTTAACATCTAACACCTTCCAAAGAAATCATGATCACTTGCATTCTTTCCTTTAAACGAAAATACCGCTCCAGCCTATTTGTCCAACCATAAGCTTCTTCACCTACAAAAACAAGAATATCATGTTTCCTCCGCAATGAGAGTGTGGTTGCCACCTGATGGTTTCTTGCCACCTGATGGTTTCTTGCCACATATCTTTTCTACAACAACAATGAGGCCTCTTATCAAATCTTCTGATCTTTGTAACTACTCATGCTGCTCATTTTCAGCCTTTTCTCTGTCATGAACAAATTCTTGCAACATTCTTTCCAACCCATCCATTCTTGTATTCACCATACCCCTTAAAATGCACCAGTGCTAAGATCAGGGCTCTAAATACCAATTAATAAAACTAATATTAAAAAGAAAAGTTAAGTTGTATTGATCTCTATACTCTAATTCCCATACCAATTTAGTACAATACAATTGAGGTTATTAGAGAGAACCCCACTCTCCAAAATCCTTCTTAATAATCCCCAAAAACTGTCCTTTCTCCTCACTCGTATGACTATTTATAATAGTCTGTTACATATGTTTAATTACAACTCTTTTCCTTTTTTTGTACAATACAGCAAAGCTATCATGTACTTTCTAAGAGAGGGTGTATTGTGATAATAATCAAGCAACTCTACACATTGCCTCTAACCTTATGTTTCACGAAAAAGAAAAATACTTAGAAACTGATTGTCATTTTGTTCAAGAAAAGTCATTAGCCAAGGAAATTCTTACCAAATTTGTTTGGTCTAAAGATCAACTTGCATATATTTTGAAAAAATTCTTGAGAAGACTTCGAATTCAATTTATGTTTCAAGGTTAATACATACAATCTTTATGCTCCAACTTGAGGGAGTGATAGAATAATTTATATTATCTTCTGAACAAGTATGTAAAAGTTTTTCGTTGTACCTATTTGTCATTTAGTGTCCTAGGAGTAAATTTTATTTTTGTTTCGTTTTCTATCTCTTGTACTTTTGTTGCAAGATACAACATCTCTACCTCCTCTCTCTTTATCTATACATACATGTGTGTGTGAATCTAAAGAGATATCTAAGTGAGACATCTCAAGTAACTTTTCACATATTATTTCCCATGTAATAGTAATATGGTATAATTTTTAGAATTGTTATATCTATGATTTGATTATAATAAGGACATACGATATAATTTGATTGGGAAATATTGCACCAAATACTTCCCACTATTAGATACTGATTTTTTTCTCTTACTATTGCATCTCTTCTTCATCATAAACAAAAATGCTTATCTGTACCTGATAGGAATGGAAATAATCAGAAGGCATGTAAAGATTATTATAGAAGGAAAAATAAAGAGTGCAGTGGAATAATAAATGAAGAGGTGGAAGTGATGCGGCAGGACAAATGAATCCGTTTTTTCCGAATGAGATTTCGTCTATATAATTGGACCAATCAGATTCTTTCAAGGACACCTTTTTTCTTAAGAACTGAGTTATAAACGAGTGTCAGCTCATGTGAAAGGAGAGAACTCCTTTGTATGTATTTTCTGTTTTTCTTAAGCAGTAAAGACAGCACCAACACTAGTTTTAATCATTAGTGCTTTGAGTTTCTTTTTTCCTTGTTTCTTTCTTTTATCTTTTGTTCAATTATCCTAACAGTACCGATACACAAAAATCCATTATATTATTTCTCAGTTTCTCTCTCCTTGACACGGTAGTAGTCGTGACTTGTTTCGTCATTAATCCTTTTAGAAAGAGGGAAGAACTTTTGCAATATGAAAAAACCATCTAAGTCAAATATATTCGTAGGACCATAACTGTATACGCTGCACAAAGAAGCCTCATTGGAATTACCTTATATCCAAAAAGTTTATCCTCATAAGTTTCATATGGCCCAATAGTAACATCCAACTTAGAGTCCTGCAAGAAAACAGAAAGATACAATTTTTTTATCCTAAAATTTATCACTATCAAAACACATTACAGTAAGAATACTAACATTCAAAATTTAGAGAAACATTACTAAAATCGCTCACTGGTAAAAAAGCCTATCCGTAAGCATAATTTTTCAAGTAATTTGGTTGGGTGTAAGACCATTTAATAAGTAAAGGCCAAAATTTCATAATTCTTTTTTAATGTCTCCTTTACTCCAGATAGAACAAATTATTTTGTCAAATTCAGATTCAAAATGATCCCCAAGTGACATTTTTTTTAGCAGCCCCAAAATTTCCAAGTTTTATGTCTTGCTGATTTGCACGACACAACTAAAAACAGAACCATGCCCTCACATTTATTAAATCAATTTGGCAATAAGTTAAAACTATGCAAGATTAATAGTATTTGTTCACACAAAAAATAAAAATTATCACCTTCTACATAAATAAATCTTTGGATTTAGTCAGATAGGGGCAATTAAGATAAAAGACGTGATGTTTTCTATTTTGTTTTGCAAAGGAAACTAACCAAATTCTGTACAGGAGAAAATGGAAATAACTCAGGGTGACAAGTGGAACAACAAATATTATAACATTATCATCAAAGTAGAGTAGTGAGATCATGTCTGCATGCATGACTAAGAATCCACACACGTGAACTGGTGGAACCTTGAAAAAATTAACATTCTTCAAATAAACTCTCATTTGCATTGATGAAGTTAACAATATAGATACATTGAATTTTAGTTATAGAATATTTGAATACTGGAGTTATTTTTTTATGCATGAGAGCAACTACATGCTATGAGTATTATTCACCGGTCTCACCAACTTAGCTAGGACTTAATTTATAATGGTGGTAGCACAAAAATAAATGAAAGGATATGACTAACCAATTCCAACCAGGCTATATCTGAGTCATAATAATTATTTGAAAGGAAAGCATCAGCCTTGCTATGTAGCAGCCTCTTCAAACTACAACAGGAAGGAATGAGTTAACCAAGTTACACCCACTTCATGCGGCCACACATAATAAAAAGCTCAAAGAACAGTAAAAGAGTAAAATAAAGTAATTCATAGTATTGTTCAGTGATACCGATATTGAATAATGGAAAATATCAAAGACCCTAAAAAGCAATACAATATATACATATAGATTATTTAATAAAAGAATACAAAACTACAATTGTAATGAAATAATAATAAAAGAGACCATAACCAATAATATTACTTGGCTCTCAAACAAACAACTCATTATGGCACTATCAACGTGTGAAGCCGAGTATGTGGCAGCATCCTTGAGTGTCCGGCATGCAATATGGCTTAGAAACCTATTACGGAATTTGGAAATAATGCAAGAAGAGAAGGTGCTAATCCGAGTAGAAAACATATTGACGTTCGTTTTCATTTATCCTCATTTTATCCTTTCTCGGAAGCGTGGAATCCAAACACATAGGAAGCAAGGAACAAATAGCTGATATATTCACGAAACCATTGCCTATTGTTCCAGGAGTACAAGAAGTTAATCGGGATGAAGGAAGAAAGAATTTAAGTTTATGGAGGAATTGTTAGATAAACATAAATTAAGAAAAGGATTTATTTGTAATTTTGAGAGAGTTTTTATTTTTTCTTTTGTTATATTTTCATTTAGCTGCAGTTGTACGATCAACATAAAAAGGAAAAACAGAAGGCTCCTAAAAACTCCACTCTAAAAAGCCCACTAGAAAATACATTACATTTCAACACTTTGTTTTACTTGTAACATAGAAAGATTAATTCATATGACTATCCATCGAATATTTTGTGGACCCACTGTCTGTCCGTGACATATTTCTTTTCAGAAGTCGTTTTCCTTTCTGATATTCAGAATCCTCTCATCATTGTGTCCTTTCTTCTAGTGTTTTCTGCCTTATTCCTCTGCCAGCATTCCAAACGGTGACCCCACTATCAGAGTCGCTCGGTCAAAGCAACCATTGTGCTGCCAGACTCGTGGTAGACAGAGCACCCACGGCCTTCACAGTGTTAGTTTATGTTTCAGTAGTGATATATTAGACAGACCAGCCTTAGGTACGACCTTTAGAAGCTCTACTGGAGATGGTTCCAGTTTTTTTTGTTATTGATTATCATCTATGTCAACATATTATGGTTCCTCTTGAAGCTTTTTGTTTTTCTCATGCACACCAACTTTGGTGATTTACCTCTTTGATTATTTCATTAGTATTCAGCTCTTTTGGCTTGGATTTGATGGTTTTAGCTTCTGTGTCATGGTAGTTAAGCATATATTTGTCTCTGGAATGTAGAATCTGCCGAGTGGTGGTTATGGTTAAGCCTTGAGTTGTGTTTCTTCTTGGTTGTTAAGCATTCCTTGCCTAATTGGCAAGTGATAGTTCCTTCCAATAGTCAAATTCTTGATGGAGAGAATATTGCAGAGACACTCGAATAAGTTCAAAACAACCTAGATGGAAGTTGAGAACTTCTATGAATTATGCACCTCAGCCATTGTCACTTTATTCATCATGTTATTTAGTCGATTTATTTCCAGCCTGTTTCATTGTATTTCACTTTGGTTTGAAATTTGAATTGTTCCATACCAAGTTTGGAAGTGTAGTGCACATCTTCCAGCTTGCAGCGGGTTGTTGAGATATAAAATGGTTATAGTTTGTTGAATCAGTTAGAAAATTAGTTGGGAGATTAGTGGTTTAGATTAGCCATATAATTCTCATTATACTCTTATTAAAATTATTTTTATTCGTTATCAATACAATTTTATTTTCAGTTTTATATATTTCTCCCAATTTCCTCCTTTGAATCATGTTTTCTAACATATAGCATAGAGAAGAACAATGAGCGCTTACTCATGAGAATATGGACAGAAAACATTACCTTGGTGAGTCGGTAATGTCTCCAGCTTTATGCAGTAAATCGGCAGCTTTTACAAGAAGAGGTTGGTATTCTTCGGAGTAAGGAACTATATATAGATCATGAGAACTTCCTTTACTAGCAGACTGATGAGAATCTAAAATAAATTCACTGTGCCTTTTAATAACACTGAAGAATCCTGTTGCCTTTTTCTGTTCATCCTTTTCTAGACTGTCCTTCCATAAATCAAACTCCTGCAAGATAAAACTGTATTCATTTTCAAATTTGCAAATGATTTCTTTTAACAGCATATACTTGGTGCAATATACCATTTTGTCCATGTCGGGTGGATAGAAATTAGCGCAAGCAGGTTTCGATACCGGAAATGCTGCTCTGTATTCCACACCCTTCCAATCTCTGACTGTCCTAGTCGCGTTAGAGAACAACCTTATTGCTGAATCTGCAGTTGTCAAGAATGCCACATCTTCATCAAGGCTAGACCTGTCAACAATTAATAGATTATAATTATACAACAAGTATGAACATAAAAGAGACATTTTACAATAAGTAGGTTCCTCCGTTCTACTCTGAAAATTAAATGAACACAATTTGCAGTGTTCAAGGCAGATGCATGTTTACATATCTGTCAAGAACACTGTCCGATCCTAGCAATTTCATGTCAAAACTTATCTTGGATGGTAAAAGAGAGCCTTAGATTAAGAAAACAAATTAAACTTAAAACTAAAGTAACAGCAAATGAGCCAACTAAGTCCAGGAAGGCATAAAATAATGCCAAAGTCTGTCTACATGTCTACTATAGAAAACATTAAGTAGGCAGACTGAATTATCAAGAAAACACTTACCATGGGCTCTTGTTAATCTGATAATAGGACCATTTCAACTTATTTAACTCTGATGAATCAGCATACTCCTTCAACCAATCACTAAGAGCTGGATTACTGTACCATGACTGACAGTAAAATAAATAGATAAACTTTAGCAATGTACACTGTCATGTGAACATATCCATATTCCTAGTTCTACTCTACCAGTTACAGTTAAAATATTAGAATAACTTTTGGAGCAAGAAATAAGTTACCCGTGAAATTTCATAACATTATTAACAAAACTTAGGTATCAAGCATGCTGCATGACACGTAATGACTTGCATATGAAAAATTTTGCATGGACAAAAGATTAACAGTCAATTTACCATTAAATTTTACATACCTCATGAGCATTAATATTGAACATATAGCATAAAACAAATAGAGACAATATACAAAAACAAACGAATACAAACACAGTATAAAGGATTGTAAACACAACCTGTAGAAGAAATATTTCATCCATAACAGCTGCAGCCTTCACAACCAAACCCAGAGCCTTTCTGTCCAAATCTGAAAGCCCAGATAACTGCCAGAATGAAACATTAAACTTATTTTAAGGTTAACTACGAACCCCAAATTTTGGGACAAAGTCAACTGATAATGTTATTAAAAATCCAAGGGAGAATAAACTTAACCAATAATGATATCATTGCCTTTGTTGAAAAGTGAACTTTAAGACTAACTCAACTTCACAAAAACCAGCTTATAAGATGATATTTGCACTCACTTATATACTATAAATTGAACTTATTTATAGTCGATATGGCACTTCCAACACTCCCTCACGCCGACACATACATCTCGAACGTGGCATTAGACATAAATGGATGATCCAATAGCGGCAAAACAACAAGCTCCGCTCCGATGGACTTTAACTCATGGCTTTGATACCATGTTGGGGAGTTGGTTTTCAGTCTAACTCACCTTATAGAACTGGCTTGTGAGGTGAGGTTTGCACTCACTTATATATTGTAAATAGGTCTTATATCTAATTGATAAGGGACTTCCAACAACCTTCAACATTTATAGAAACATGTTGGCAACACTCTCTAACACACTCTTCCTAAAACACCCCTAGTAATGGTTGATACTTCTAATTAATTTATTTGGGGTTAAATATGCTTTTAGTCCCTCAACTATCAAGCAATTTTAGTTTTAGTCCCTCCTTCAAACTTTGGTACACTTTGATCCTTATCCTTAAGGAAACTATAATTTTTCGTCTTCCAAAACAAACGCCGTTAAATTTAATCTGATGTGGCTAACGGTGTGCAAGGAAATCAAGGGGAGCCCAATAGTGGGTGGCACAATAGACCCAAATCTCGACAAAGATAGACTATGAATTGCTCTAATATTGGTATGAATTGCTCTAATATTTGACTCTGATATCATATAAAGGTAGTGGAATTTAAACCTAGTGGAATTTAAACATAATGCAACCGTACTAAACCAAATCAATATTGGTGACTTGGGCCCAATTACTAGAAGCATGGCAAGAAAGCTTCAAGAAGAATTTGAAGACCCATCCAAGGATTCTAAAGTGCTCTTCCTCAAGTTCAATTGGCAGCTATTGGACTAAGGACAGCCCACCCAAGCTCATGAAGATGGGAAGCCTCCTTAGTTTCTAAAGACATGTGGCGCTCAGTGCCCTCTGCCTGGTGTCCAGTGGCAATATAGGAGCCTTTATTTCGAGCACATGTACTTTGTGCTTCTCTTCGAGTTTTGGAAGCCTTCCTAGGAAGTAAATTTAAAGTAAGCCTTGCACCCCCACTTATATACTATGATTGAGTCATATTTCTAGTTGATGTGAGATCTCTAGCAACAAGCAAAATCAAGGAAGTCATACTTTATTTGTAAAGCACTTCATTACAAGTAAACTCACTATACTACCAATCTATGTGGATGATACAATTATTGCATAAGATAAAATAGAGAAAGTGCCTTTTAAGGAAAAGAGGCTGCTTATTCCAAAAATCAAGTATTTCCATGGAATAGAGGTTGCCTATTCCAAAAAAAGGAAATTTTCATCTCCCAAAGAAAACACTTTTTTAAAGTTTTCTTATTTCGAAAACACTTTTTTAAGTTTAACCAAACTTTCTCAAACTAAGATGCATTTGCATTCGAGGAGAAAATATTAGAAATACAATATTTTAACAGTATAGTTTTCAAATTGACAAGACGGAATGGGGGAGACAAATAGCTAAAAGTAGACAGATACAGGTCAGTAAAATTAATACGAGAACCAAAAACAGATGAAAATAAAAACAACCTCTGCACTAAGGGAAACAGGAGCATAACGACTTATTTGCTTCTGTAGAGTCAAACTGCGTGCTACAGTGTTTTCCTTGTACCTTAAACAAATATGCAAATGTATGAATACCAAAATAAGTATATAATCAATGTCTGTTTTAAAGATCATGTAGTTGCCTTTGATAGAATATAATCAGAAGTATATTTAAAGTTAAGAAAGCTGAGTTTGGCCATGTGATTCTGCAGTTAAAAGGAAATATACATAGTTTAGTTTGGAATGGATACAATGACGCTTCTTACTACATACTGGTAGGCAATTTTTTGTCTGGCATGAGATGGTAGGCACATTCCATGAATATTCAGTTTTCCCATTCACATTCCATGAATGATTTGGAAGAGGGGCCAATATCAAAATTCTGTCTACATATGCTGTTTTTGTCTATATCTGCAGAGGAATACCCATACTTTTAATGGCCACTATTTACTGGGCCAAGCCAACATCTAAGACTGTGCCTGACCCTAATAAGACAACTTCTAAGCTATGAAAGTACAGACATTCTTGTTACAAGAGTTGTCAAAATGTTAGACACAAACCAAGCAAGTTCAAATAGTTTTGGTTCACTCCCAATTCTTTTATTACCTTATTTTATTTTCTATTTGGAAGGACATCTCCTTCCCTCTGTAGTTGTACCTCGCTTCTTTTCTATTGAATAAATTTTACTTTAAAAATGAAGAAAATAGAAAGACATGGCTAGCTGAACTGGGAGTGAAGTTCTATACTGGTACAAGGAATCAAACAACAACAATAATACTTTTTACGAGAGTTATTGCAGATTGAAAGAGGTTTTGTTTCACATATAAGAATCCTTTATTCAAAACTAATTATAGCACACAAGAGTTGACAAAAACTTAAATTCTAACATACCTCTTTTCGATTACATCAAAGAGTTGACCGTATTCTCCATTTACATCATAGGGGACATAATCTGAATCTTCTTTGGCCAGTAACCTTTTGTATTCTTCATAAAAGATATATTTAACAGCTGAAACCTCCGATTCCTGCCAATGAGAGAAAATCCCCACAAAAAAGATCAGGAAAAATTAAGATAAAAGAAGTCATGCATGCACCAAGAAAGGCATAAAGGACATGAGAGTAATGGAATTAGATTAGCACATCAATTAAATATCTTTTGTCTACAATCAACCATGTAGAGATAGTATATGCTGCCAGCCCATTATTGACTTACAGACAACCACCCTGAGAATTACAATGACATCAATGCATCTAACGGAATTTAATCAACACAAGACATAAAAGAACACAAACAGAAGTGAAAATAATGAAAATATAATCAATAAAGCCACATGACTATGAATGATCTATTGCATAAGTCTTCTTGCATTGTCAAAATTGTTTAAATTGAGTTTCACCAAAGATGTTAAACATTTATGCAACTGATGTTATAAATATTTTTTTCTGGACTAGAATATCATGGAGTTTACTTCTTCTAGCTAACTGCTACCACATATTTAAAAGTAACTTGTTAGGACTTAGAGAGTATAGAAAAGGAGAAAAGGGAAACAGAACACTTAACTGTTAATCAGTTAAGTGAGGGGGCGGGAAAAGGCCTATATATTAGGACCCTTTATTGTTTCAGTTAGCCAGTTGTGTAGTTTGTATGTGTTGACCAGTCTTAGCACCAGATGGAGGAGGTTAAGCTCCTAAGATACAGTGTATTCTTGATTCATTGTTGTGAATACCATTCATACTATTCCTTCTTGATTCAAGGTTAAGCTCCTAAGATACAGTGTATTCTTTATAAGTCTTCTTGCATTGTCAAAATTGTTTAATTGAGTTTCACCAAAGATGTTAAACATTTATGCAACTGATGTTATAAATATTTTTTTCTGGACTAGAATATCATGGAGTTTACTTCTTCTAGCTAACTGCTACCACATATTTAAAAGTAACTCCTATGTGCCAAAGAGTTAATTAAAATGAAACAATCAAACAAAAAGAATTATATCCAATATAGTTCACAGATTACTCTAAATTCAATCACTAAGACAGAATTAAAAGACATAAATAGACATTAAACAAGAATAGATACCAAGATATAAATAGACATTAAACAAGAATAGATAGCAAGATATGACCAGAAAAACTCAAGTTCTATTCTATCTCAGTATATAAATCCAGTAATTAGACTCAAATCACGGATTACAGAACAGAAACTTTAAAATAAAACTAAATCATAAAAAATATGCAATGATCACAAATGTCATACCTTTAAACTGAATTCTAGTACTTCTAAAACAAGTTAAATTTGTCAAATAATGAAATGCTATAAAGGCTGGTTCCATAATCAAATAAAGGCCACTTATTATGTCTCTCAATGAGATCTAAAAAGTCCAATTTGAAACAACTTACACATCCTCACCTGAAGTGCAAAGGCTTCCAGAGGTATAGGATCAAGAGTTGTTACCAGATACACATCATTAAATTCGTTATTGATGTATTTTCCATCATTTATGACACTGCATTCCATATTTAAAGATCATATTACTAGTCCACAGATAAAATAGGAGAGAAATACACTCATTGAAGATAAAAATCTTATATGCTACAATAACAGAAACACAAATTAACTTGACAGTCTCCTTCATATGCGGAAGAGACTCCACTATACGTTTAAACAGACCCTCAATTGAAAGGAAAATCAGAGGGTGTTTACTTTTTCTTCCACTTTTAAATTCAGTGCATTTGTTTTCATATTCAGTTTTCAATTTTGTGAGAAGCAAACTAAAAAAGGAAATTTTAAAAATGGAAAACAGCCTAAAAGCAATAGCATTTACGAAATGATAATTATAAAATAATAAAAAATTAAATAAAAATAAAAACAAGACTTTAACTTTTTGCGAAATACAGAAATACATCATATACTACTTACCTGTGCTGGAGGTAAATAAATATCAATTCAAATGCATCCTTGGGGAGGATTACACCCAACTCTTCTTCAAGCTCTCTCCTGAAAAATTAGTCACACAACAACACCAGACTTGATTAGCAGTACAGTCTCTTTCTATTCAACATTCTGAATAATCATACTTTGGTGCAAAATAACCGTAATTTCATGCAATTTGAGAATGCAGGTAGGTCTGATGTTAGAATAAAAAATGTCAACTATGCTTATCTTAATATAGCGGTAACCATTGCTGTGGGAGTATAAATTCATTAATTAGGGATTTTAGTATTATCAATTCTTTTTTAGTTGATTGGCTTCCAAAGCAGATACAATTTAATGGGAACATCCTGAGTGTCTATGGGTTAAGTGTAAACCGATGGAGCGGCCATGGATGGCTTCTTGAAAGGAGCATGTAGTAACATAATTTTGGATTATGGAGCTGCTATAATTGGTTGCTTTTCTATTGGTGAACACCTTTCCTTTTGAGCACGGGAATTTTGCCATTGTGAATGCTATTGAAATTGCTCATCCCAAAAAATGGTAAGTATTTACTACTTTTACTACTGTTCCTGTTGTATAAAAACTGACAAAATCACGAATAGTATTTCCTGAGACGAGTAGTTTTACTGTCCTTAAAAACTTATTCGCAGTGTATTGCACAAGTCTCCCAAAATACTGCCGGAACTTCTCGAATTGTATTCGAAGATCTCAAAACTAGCAAGAAAATTTGATAAGAGTTAATACGTAGGATAAATTTTAGGAAAAGAAAAGAGAAAAAGAATGAAACTAAGAGAATGAGAGAAGAGAATTTTATGATGGATTGGAATGGAGGAAGAGCTCTATTTATAGAGCTAGGGAAGAATAGAAAAAGAAAATGTTTGACCGTTGCATCAGTTAAGGAACGTTGCCAAAAGAAAAGGATCGTTGCACTGATGAACGTTAGGCGACGTCTCTTTTGCAATAATATAATATTATTACAACAGTTCTTTGAAGCCTTTTGAATAGATGACTAAATGTATGGCTCTTAAGGAGATGAGTTTTAAAGTTTCACATGATACAGAAAGGGTAATAGATGTGCAGACTTAATACAGTAGCAACCCGCAGTCAATTTGGTTTAGTTACTCCAGTACCATCAGTCAATTTGATATTAACTCCTAAAACTAGCGCACGTCTAGGATCATGCCTTTCAAAGGTCATGAAAGAGTTGCTTCTATTAAGTAACTAAATTAGCTGCCAAAGACAACATAACTAAACCTACTTGTTCATATCATCAAATACCAAATTGACTTCTCATGTAATGCACACAATACTAGGGGTCGTGATTAGAAAAGCATTTCCTGTTTTGACGTTGTTTTCTATTCTCTGAAATTTACACAGAAAAAAGGTTAAATGAGAAAACAAAACCAAAAGCAATATTCAATTTATATTTCACCGTTTCCTGTTCAGATTCTTAAACACGAAACAATCTGGAAAAAACAGAACAGAACGTTTTCCCCAACGACAAAACAATGTTGTCCAACGAGATTTGAAGTTTAGCATAGTAATACGCCACGACATTTAAAGAAATAGTTTCCTATAGTGATTATCGAGATGAAACTTATTCTCATTTAAAAAAAAAAACAGCAACAGAACGTATTTTCCGGTATGCAAGTCCTGTGCTCTCTCCAACCAAACACGAAACGATCGGTAATTTGACAATGCAGAGTACCTAGCAGTGATTAGCGACGAATCGCCAGCGGATATGTGACCGGCGCTGGAGATGTCCCAAAGATCAGGCCACGAGTCCTTGCACGAGGCGCGGCGTTGGAGGAGCAGCTCCTGCGTCCGCTCCGCGAATAGCCACACGTGAACGGCGCGGTGGTAGTCGCCGTTGCGATGCACATCTCCCCTGAACACAAACGCCCACACACACAAATGCAAGCGTTGTTATTACGCACGCGAATCTGAGGAACTGTGGCGAAGAACGATTGAGTTCGCGATTACCTGGGCTTGGAAACACCGGTTTTGAGACCGGTTTTGGTTAGAACGTCAAGGTGTTCCACTGCTTGCTGCTGCATCTCAGAGTGTTGTTGAATGAAATTCGGAGGTGCCGAGTGTTAGTGAGGGAGTCAACTATAAATCTGCGGAACGTGAAATCGGAACGGAATCAGTAACATGTACTTTTCAATCTTATCATGTCTTATCTTTTCCTTTTTCTCACCTGTCTTCTTATCATTCTGCAATGGTATTATTATATTACTCCATCTTTCTCGAATGATTTTTTTTTTAATAAATAATTTTAATCTGTCATTTTTAAATTTTAAGATAACATAATTTTTATTTTAATTAATTAATATAAAAAGAGAAAATTATTTATGATAAAAATAAAAATACAATGATATATGAGTATTATTGAAATAAAAAAATTAAAATATATTCTTTAGTTTATATTATATAATTTACATTTTTATAAAAGATTAACTTTCCTTTCTTTGTCCGTATTAAGTTATTAATAATGAGAATAAATTAAATATATTGGTAGTACTATTTTAAAAGTCATGAAAATAATGTAAATTAATTATTTTTATTAATGTAAATAATTATGTTAAAGTGTTTTATATCAAGGACAGAAGAAATATAAAAAATATATATACTTAATCTTAATTATAAAAATGATTATTTTTAATATGGGAAACAACTTATTTTCAAATATACTATTTTGTAAATTTCCTTTTATCTTTTTAATCTTTTTGTGAAAGTTATTCATTAGAATTCAATCATCCTTAAAAAAGATGCATCACTACTTAATGCATTTTGTAAGACCCTAGGAAATCAGCACTATAGATTATCTGTCAAATCACAATCAATGCACGCCACATCATTCGCAGAACCATTAAAAACGCACTAAGCGCTGCATGCACGAGCGCCACTTGTCACGGTCGAAGCTTTTGAAGTCAGAAGTGGGGGTGCAGGTGTCAGCAGAGGAGACGCTCGTCCGTTTGGACGTGGAATTTACAAAACTGAGTTTTGAAAAATTCTCTCTCTCACCTGCACGCACTCTTCATCTTCCTCAGAACTTAAACCTTCATCTTCTCCAACTTCTCTCTAGAAACCCTAAACTTCTCTCTACTGTAATCATCACGTTTCTTCTCCAATCAAACTTGCAGCACCGTAGGATCGTTCGTTCAGCCGTGAGCTTCATTTTGGACCGAACCAATCTCAGTTCTGAAAACGGTAAGTCTCCTAAGTTAGGTCGGTAGGTGTCGTTTCCTGGATAGCCTGCGAACCCAGATTCTTTTTGCATGCAAGGGTAGGAGTTGATATTTTCTACATTTCTTTGGCTAGATTTAGTGGAAGAAACTTAAGTGGCTGTTGAGTATAGAAGAGTTGTAGTTGAACGTGTGAAAGTCATACTTTTAGGGCGTACACTACTATCCAGGTAAGGGAAGCTTATGTATTTAATTCATATTTTGTTGAATGATTGATGATAATGCATGCTTGTGGATGAACGAATGAATGTATGTGTATAGTATGAGTATAAATGTATATTGATGATGAACTGAAGGAATAGGGTATATGTTGGCCGTGATGTATGATCATGTTTGATACTATGATTATGAATGATTAATGTGATTTGTATAAAGTCTGGAAATTGATATTTGATATAAACTATAAAGTAAGAATTGTATGAGAAATATTGAATTTTAAATAGAAGAACAATCTGAAACTAAATTACTCCCTATGATAAATTATGCTCGTTATCGTACGGTCTTATACCGTTCGGTTTCCCTGAAAAAAGACTTAGAGTGGAATTCTTTCATTTGGGAAGAATTCGGTTTGAGAACGAGCGTCCTCATTTGAAGTACTATGTATGAGCGGTCGCTCACATGGAAATGTAGTACACCTTACATTAAATATACTGAAATAAGTAACGTTCGGTCCTTATACCGAACATTCGCCTAAATAGCGTCTCGTCTTATACTAGCCGAAAGCGTTCGTCCTAAATAACCGCCGCCTTATATCGAGCGCCTGTCCAAATCATCACGCTAGGGGTCTCCATACCAAGCGTTCGTCATAAGCGGTGCTCGTCTCATACCAACGCTCGTATGATTGAATAATCATTTGATAAAATAAGCGTTCGTTCAATGTATTAAACTATTCATTTGTCTTACGGCCGTTCAATTTCTGGGCATTGGTCTTTCTTATGCAACCTCTTCAAAGATAATTCTAGTATTCTTGACCCTCCATTGTGTATTAAATGCGGGTCAAGTTTTTGATTACAAGATATTGTTCGAAATACCAGTACCGTCAAGTCGAGTCAGTTCATTTACCTGACCCAAACAATAGTCCATGTTTCGTTCTATTGTCTCTGTGTCATTCAGGCCTTATTGGACGTTCGTCCTGAATCCTTCAGTGGACTAGCGTTCGGGCATTGTATCACTTGTAGAATCTAATATGTAAAAGATGATGAATGATAGATAATATTAATGCGAACGCCGTTTTGACGATGATTGATGATTAGGAATTGAACAGAGCGTTCCAGGGAGAACGTCTCATATATGTTGATTATGGAATTTGGTAAAGTATGATGGGTTATGGCAAGGCTGCGCAACGGTCCATCCTGATATTTCCGTGATACTCATCTGCACTAGAGAGAGTAGTTCATGTTGGGAATGGCAGGAGTCCAGTAGTCCATAAGTTAACAGGGGCGACCGGTTTAAGGAAAAAACAGACTAACCTCGAGGGCAGCTGTTGTGTATCCCAGTTACACAACCCACTCGGTGCAAAGGACGCCTGTAGCTACCAGTATACATCGCGGGACGTCGGTGTCATATATTCTATATACATATACTCTCGATGTTAAGTTCAACAATGTGTTGTGTGAATTGAAATGTTAATATATTTTATCGTATGAAACTAATTAGTATAGCTGTACCCTAATCTTTTTCCTTGATGTTTGTATATGTATGGTGTAGTTTCCATGTCTGTGGCGCAATGATCATTCCGGTGGATGTGAACGAAGGCGCTACTTTATAAGAGGTGATGCCAAGGAAGAGAATTTAGGTCGAGTGAAGTGAAAGCGGAGCAGTAGACGTGCGTCTTCTTCTAGTTTAGGACGCCGTTTTTTGGTGGACGTTCGGGTATTTTTGTAAAACCGTTAGTTATAGCTCTTTCCATGAATTCGTTTTTTGTTATCTTAACTCTACACTCCTAAGCCGTTCGGTTTTTGAACTCTGTTAATGGTAAAGAACTGTT